CTCCTGATTCCTACACTGTCATGTCTTTTGACAGCGGAGTGAAGGTTCTAGGGCTGTCAGTGTGGGCTGAGAAGTTTGTTATGGGCTCTTACCGTTCTTCAGATGTGTCCCAGTGTCATTCCTGCATGGTGGGATCAGAAGACTCACCACTTTCCATTGTGTGTGGTACAAAACAGCCTCAGATGGAGCAGGGATTTGTGAAGCCAGTGATGGTTAGGAGGGCTACCCCTTTTATTCACCCCAGCCCATGCTCCCAACAGGCCTTTTACTTATAAGCGAAGCTCAGTCTGCTTTCTAAGGTAGAGGGATCAGTGTGTGCTGAGATTGTGTTGGGAAACCTGTAATATACACTGTGGTCTCTTGCCCAGGGGCCTCTCCCATGGGCCCTCTTTCTCAGTGGATTAGAAGTACATTGTCTATTTGGTTGGTTGGTTGGTTTGGTGCACTGTTTTGAGAGGTTGTAGCAGCTTTAGGAGATGGTCACGTGCATCTCTATGGTGCAGCCCTGGGGCATACAACCCAGCCTTTCTTTGTCTTATGTCTGCTCCCTGTCTGGGCAGGCAGCCTTCTGTCCCAGCCATGCCTTCTCTGCTATGGACTATATCTACTATAATTGTGAGCCAGAGTCTATCCTCTTTCCCCTAAGTTGCTGCTTATCGGGTATTTGGTCACAACAAGAAAAGTAGCTGGCAGTGAACGCAAGGCCCTGACATAGTGCGCAGCAGGTGCCTCACCGGTCTGGGAGAACCTGTCATTTTTTTCCCACTCTACCATGGTAGAACAACCACCCTAAGGAAGCAGAAGCAGCCAACAGTCCCTGCGTCCCTCTGGGTCCCTTAGTGGAAATTCTTGGCTGTGGGAGGTGTGGTCTGTGGCTGGGAGCTGGTCTGCTCTGACAGCCTGGCTTCTGACTGAATAGTACCTCAGCGGGTAGGGAGCGTCTGAGTTAGGAAAGATGTGCTCCAAGGCTGAGTAAGCACCCCTTTCAGAATCTGGAAACCTTGCTTTTTATAAACACAAGTGTTGCTGTTCTGATTAGCCTTGGTGACAACTACTGAATAATCTCTAAACGATGCTGACAGGTGACATTGAGGAACCCGACATTCAGGAGTATTTTGGAGACTTGTTCTGTGCCTGACCATATGGTCTAGTAGCTGAAATGATTTCACATAGACAAAATGTGTTTTAGGAGGGGGGATTTAAAACAGGCTGTTTATTTTCTCTTTCTTCCAGAGGAATATTTTTATGCCTGTTACAAACGTGGCACAAACCATGTGTTTCCTGCTCCCACCTCACGGGCATATACCCATCACTAAGCAGACTCTGTCTTCCTTCCTCATAGCAGGAGAAGCACAGTGCCTGGTCCCTAGCTTGGACACAAGCGCCCTGAGCACAGGGCATCACCACGTGGTGGCATCAGGACATTTTCCTGTTTGAACAGTGCTGCCAGATATAGATGAGGGGAGCCTTAAAGTGATCACAGCAGACCAGTGAGGGTGGAGCTTGCTGTACAGCTACATTCATCATCAGGCATTCACCACGCCGCCAAGGACACACAAAAGGGATGCAGTTGGTTCTTGTGACCACAGAGGATCTGGAGGTCCTACATGCCATATGCTATACTTGTGAATAAGTAGCCAGTGTGAAAGGCCACCAGTGACAGCAAACCTGGGCCATGGGCTCACAGTAGCTCACCTAGCCTCTCAGTTTTGAAGTTCAGTGCTAGTGAGACCCATTATCACTGGCTGGGGCTTGCCTAGAACCCCAGACTTGGACTCAGACTCTAAGCTAGGACTCTTACCTGCACCATATGTTTTGTCCTCTGCCTATCTGTCAGTACTGACCCTTCTTGCTCCACTTTCGCCCACCCGTGACCTCTGCTTGAGGGTAGCGTGGATGATACAGATGTCCCTGAACTCCATCCGTTTTCCAGGTTCCTCCTTCAGGGTTTCATACCTGCCTCACCTCCAGGCCAGAGCCTTCCTCACTGGTCCAGAGTGTCCAGTTGGACTCCTGATGCCACCTCTGATCTCTTTTCTCCTAGTGGGAGTTGACCTTCATCTATCTGTCCCAGACTTATTTGTCCAGTGTGACCTTTCTGTATCCTGCATCTGCATCTTGGCCACTTGGTCTGGCCTCTGCAAAATGTTTTCAGAGCAACCTCAAGGTACCTTTGTCTACCTTGTCTTCTGCTTCCTGTTTGGGGCTGCCACCATGTGTGACACCCTCCCTATCTTTTCTTTTCTCCTCCCTTAGGTTTCCCTGAGACCTACCTCTGTACTCAGGGGCATAACCTTTCCCGAGCCCTCCCAAAGTGCTTGCTGGTTCTCTGCTCTTGTCAAGCTCATACAGCATGGGGGTGCCACCTGTGTCTACTGAACCCACAACTGGTAGGCTCAAAGGAGAGAAGGGCAGAAGTATCCAGGAGACTGAGCAACAGCCCAGGAGTCTGAACCTGTTTCCTGCCTCACTCAGTGAGCCTGTCACTGTAACCATATGTGTTCTGAGATGTGGGTTCATGAACCACATAACTTCACTATAGTGGTTTAGTTGGTGGACAGGGAAACTACCTCCTTTAGAAGGTGGCACAAAGCCTGGTGGTGGTGGCGCATGCCTATAATCCCAGCATTCGGGAGACAGAGGCAGGTGGATCTCTGAGTTTTAGGCCATCCTGGTCTATAAAGCTACACAGAGAAACCCTGTCTCTAAAAGCCAAAATAATAATATTGTCAACAATAATAAAAACAATAACAATAATAATAATAGAAGGTGGCACAGTAGATGCCCTGGCCTGGACTCCAGCCCTCCGGGCTCTGGGTACAGAGTGTGCCTCAGCTTGGTCTTTGACAATAGAGTTGGTAATGACTATATGCACAGTATTCTCAGTGCCTGTGTAGATGGTCCTCCTTGGGGCAGCAGCCCAGGTTGTAACTCTTCCTGCTCCATCCCACCCTCCTCTTTTTCTTCTTACTGTTGAGAATTTTGAGTGGAAGTCCACTACAAAGCAGTCCTGTTTGAACCTTAGAAAAGTATTTTTAAGTTTTAATGACATGTTCAGAATGAGCCCCTGATGACCTGTTTTAACTTGAGGGTTAGGGGTTGGGACAGCTTCTTAGCAGCTGGGTAACCTCTATAATTGCTTAAAATCTCCACCCCTACGAGTCAGACAGGAATGACTGACAGTTTGTTGTCAGGTGAGCAGTGGCTGGTACTTGATGGGTATTCCCTGACAGGACACAGTTTAATAATCTTGCCCTCTCCTCAGGCCCCACCCCATCAAGTGCACGAGCTGACTCATTCTTCATACTTGCACTCTGCTTATCCACCACCTCCAGAATTAGGGTTATGGTAGACAGAGGTTATGGGGAGGTATGGTCATGAGGAAGATGGGGGCTGGGTGGGGAGAAAGTATATTTTGAAGAACAAAATGCTGATAGTTGACCTGGATGTGTTGATTATGTGACTGCCACAGACGAGGGCTTGATGGAGCCACCAGCTCCATAGACAGTATCAGCATTCGGTTTTATTCAAGGTGAAATAGCTTGATCCAGTATTTGAGAGGTCGGATGCCCTGATGGGAGGGAAGTATTATTAGCCACAAAATCTGTCAAACCAGCTATGAAATAGAAATGGGCACTTAATTAAAAGATGGCACTGTGCAGCCCTGCAGTGCTGTAGCCGCCTGGTTTAGTTTCTAATGGTTCCCTTTACTGCAAAGCCACAGTCGGCTAGCACAGTCTGCTGCGTTTCTAGGGTCACTGCATAACCATCACCAGTGGTGGGTTGAAAGTTTATTTGTAATCTAATAATCAGAAGAGCTGATTACAAGTATTGTTTTAAAATCTTCTGGCTGCAAGAAAATTTGTAAACAGGGTCCAGATGCATGTTAAAAAGCATTCGTTACTGTGTGGAGCAGAAAGCACTGGGTGAAGGCTGAGAAGCTGTGTGCTAGGTGGCCTGTTCTGGGCATGATTTGGAGGAGGGGGTCAGTGTGTCCTTTGTCACCCCCCCCCCTTGCATGCCCTTCCCATAATAAACCCAGCCATATCACTGCAGTGCAGAAGCCATGGGAGGAAGGAAAGGCTGCAGAGAGGGGAGCGGCCCAGGACAGGATGACTTCCTTTAAATGCAGATTATGGGCAGGGCAAGTAACATTTGGAGGGAGTATGTCTGTTCACCAAGGCCCAAGGAAATCTTAGAGCCAGCACAGCACAGGAAACACACACAGCAGGCCAGTCCAAGGAGTGTGGCTACCTAGACAACAGGCTAGGCTGCCAGGGAAGATGCCCTCTGCCCAGCGTCTTCATCTGCTCCTGAAGTGGCTTTCCACAAGGCTGGGCCCATGGGAGGGTTTCTATTTGGGTTATACACAGAAACACTTTTTATTCACAGAAATCAGATTGAAGTGGGTGGAAAATGCATTAAGCTATATGACTGTAGAGCTGTTATTTAGTTTGATTTAATGTTGATAAATGACAGCCAATTGCTTGCCCATATGGGTGGGATAAATTCCACCAGAGTTTATGTCTTTCTCTGCAGGCTGGCTCCCTGGCAGTCCCCTCTGAAATTCTGGTTTACCATCAGTAGAATTAATGTGCCCTCTGGCATACTAGGAGCTCAGAGGGCCCAAACCTTTGAGATTTCCCAGAGCCTACCTTGGTTCCATGACTCAACCACCGTGACAGTGCCGCTCAGCACATAGTTGCTGTGGTCCTCACCACAGAGCCTGGGATTCCAGGATTCTGAGTCATCTTTCCATTGGTGTGCAGTCAGTCACAGCCAGAGGGAAGTGCAAGTGTGTTCCTGCAGAGATTGTCCCCTGCTTTCTCCCTAGAGTATAGTCTAGACTTCGGGGTGGTTATGAAGATTGTCCTATTCTGGGAGCATTCCCTGCTCACTATTGAGTCTCCCAGGGTGATGGCATCATGAGACACAGCGTTTAAAGTGGGTGAATGTGAGCCAACAGACAGACAACTCACTCAATGTCTTTGTTTCCCCAGGATGACTGGAATGACATCGACTCCATTAAAAAGAAAGACCTTAACCACAGAAATGGAGATGAGAAAGCACAGAGTGTGGAGACCCTCCCTCCAGGTACTATATCTGGGATGGGGTCCATCTTTCATAGCCCTGCTAATTGTGAATGGACTGAATGTAGTGCTAGGAGCAGTGGCTTGGGGCAGAGAATGAATTTCTTAAGCTACTGGATGCTGCCCAAGAGCACACCTTTGCTTTTCCTGTCAGGACATTGGTGGGTGGTCAGCAGAATTTATAGAAAGAGAAAGAGTAAAGTATAAACACAGAATCTGAAGTTTTAGTTCATGAAAAAATTTCAAATAGACTTATTTTTATAAAAGGAGTTTTAGGTTCATAGCAAAATTGCCAAAAGATCCATAATGTTCCCATGCCATGTATCCCCACCCCCATTCCTGTCTATGTTCTCATCAGAGTGGGACACTGGGAACAAGCCATGACCCATATATTTTTTTATTTAAAAAAACTTATAATTCATTTTACATACCAACCCCAGTTCCCCTCCTTCCCCTCTGCCCCCCATCCACTCCTCAGAGCAGGTAAGGCCTTCCTTTGGAAGTCAACAAAGTCTGGCATATCAAATTGAGGCAGGACAAAGCCCCCAAGCCCACCTGTATCAAGGCTGAGCAAGGTATCCCACCATAGGGGATGGGCTCCAAAAAGCCCATGCACCTAGGACAGGTTCTGGTGCCACTGCCAGCCCCACTTCCCCAAAGATTAAGCCATGTAACTGTCACCCACATTAAGAGGGTCTAGTTCGGTCCCATGCAGATTCCCCAGCTGTAGATCCATAGTCTGTGAGCACCCAGGAGCTCAGGTCAATTCATCATGACCTATATTAATTCAGAATCACCACCAAAGTCCACAGTGAGGGTCATTATTGGTGATAAGGCACATTCTGAAAGTTTTTTGTTTGTTTTTTAAAGATGCGAGAGTGTGTGTGTGTGTGTGTGTGTGTGTGTGTGTGTACATGTATGTGGATACCCATAGAGGCCAGAAGAAGGTGTCAAGTCCTTGGTCTTGTAAGCCATTGGATGTGAGTTCTAGTAACTCAACTTCAGGCTTCTGCAGAACAAAAAACACTCTTAACCACTGAGACATCTCTCCAGCCCTAACTGATTAATTTTTTGCACTTAACAATAGTCCATTGTCTATATATACCACAGTTAATTTTGCATTCATTTGCTGAATTGTGTCAAGTTTTGAATTGCTTACAAGTTTTGGCAATTGTGAATGAGGCTACTGTATAAGTAGTGATAATGCAAAACACAGCTTTTGTCCTGAAGGGAATAGGCAGTGGTTGAGTCTGGGTCAAATATGAATAGCTATGGTCTAAGAACATGGATTTGGGTTGCCATAAATGACGTGTCCTACCATGGAGGAGATTCTGTGAGGTTTATAATTACAGCAAAGAAAAGGTCATGAAGCAGGCTGTTCACAAAACCCACCAGTGCAGCTGGTAGGCAGGTCAGCAGAGCAGGGAATCTCCTGGGGTTTTAGGTGCAGTTCTCAGGCACAGGGATTGGTAAGCAGCTGTGAAGGAGACTAAAGACAGCAGGAGATGGTGTTGTCTTTGGATCTGAAAATTTTGTGTGTGTGTTACTTTCTAGAATTTTATTTATGCCACAATCCCTTTTGAGTTAGTTTTTGGGAGAGATGGAAGGTGCCTGTCTAGGCTCCTGGATTGATTGGTTTATGGGTGTCCAGTTGATGAAGGTGTACTTTTTCACTGGGTAGTGGTGGCGCAAGCCTTTAATCCTAGCACTTAGGAGGTAGAGGAAGGCTGATCTCTGAATTTGAAGACCACCTGGTCTACAGAGACAGTCCAGGACAGCCAGGCCTACACAATGAAACCCCGCCCCCCCCCAAAAAAAGACATGGCATTGAGAGCATGGAGGAAAAGGAAGAAAGACCTCCAGGGAGAAGAAACCGCCAAGCTGAGTAACTCCAGTTCAAAACCCAATGAAGGAGTTAACAGGAGGTTGCACTGCCTCCGCTACCATGAAGAAAACTACAGATGTGGTTGTCTTCCTAACAAGCCAGTTCACATCCAGAGACTAATAGGGGAGTTTAATCAACTGCAGAGTCATGGTACCAGAACTCTGTTTGTGCCAGAAGATGTGAATAAACTTAAGCTTATTTTATGAGTTGCTCAAGATTAGTGGTTCTCCACCTTCTGAATGCTGCAGTTCTTTAATACAGTTCCTCATGCTATGGTGACCCCCCACCCATAAATTATTTTTGTTGCTACTTCATAACTGTAATCTTGCTACTATTATGAATTGTAAGTATCTGACATGTGACCCCTATGAAGGAATCATTCAACCACCAAAGGGGTCATGACCCCAGAGGTTGAGAACCACTGCTTTAGATTTTTTTTCCCTTTTTTAAAAATTAAATTAGAAACAAGCTTCTTTTACATGTCAATCCCAGTTCCCTCTCCCTCCCCTCCTCCCCTGCCCCTACCCCTACCCTCAATCCCATTCCCTTTCTGCTTCCCCAGGAGGGTGAGGCCTTCCATGGGGGAATCTTTTAAATTCTGTCATATCATTTGGAGCAGGGCCTAGACCCTCCCCCATGTGTCTAGGCTGAGAGAGTATCCCTCTATGTGGATTGGGCTCCCAGAGTCCATTCGTGTACTAGGGATAAATACTGATCCACTACCAGAGGCCCCATAGATTAACCAGACCTCTAAACTGACATCCTCATTCGGGGGTTTGGAACAGTCCTATGCTGGTTTCCCAGCTATCAGTCTGGGGTCCATGAATTCCCCCTTGTTCAGGTCAGCTGTTTCTGTGGGTTTTTCCAGCCTGGTCTTGACCCCTTTGCTCATCACTCTTCTCTCTCTGCAACTGGATTCCAGAGTTCAGCTCAGTGTTTCCACTGCTCTAGATTCTAAAAGATGAAACTTTGCTTGTTAGAAGTTTCAGTATTAGTAAACTTGAGTTACTTTTTTTCCTTCCATTTTCATTGCTTCCCTGCATATGGAAGCTGCTTTTCTTCTGCTCTGCCCCTCCCCCATTGTTTGTTAATAGAATCAGTATTTTAGACATTGGGGAGCCAGTGTCTATGCAGATAAATCAAATTTTCCTTGAAAAGTTGTGTTTGTCATTAGAGATGACTTTTTTAGCTATCAGGGATGCAATGTCCACACTCAGGAGCTGTGTGTGCCTAGAACAAAACAAAGCAAGTCATGTGTAATATGAATGCATTTGAATAAACATAGCCTATTTTCTGACCTTTTAAAATGCAAACTGCCTTAAATGGTAGAATATTTAGACATTTGCATAAAATAAAAAATCAAAACATTGTTTTGGTGGATTAAAAAACTGAAAGTTGTATGAATATGTGTGTACTTTCCTATGCATATACATACATACATACGGGCTGCTTGGCTCCAGAGTGTTAAATCTGCCCTGTGGGTTAAACCCCCATTGCAATATCTGCCTTAAGGCATTTACATGGTGTGGTTGGTCAGTAGCTACACTGCTTCCCAAAGGTGCTAACAGCCTTGGGAAGCATGCTGTGGTCTGCCAGCAGTGTGTGTTCAGCTTGTGTGTCGGAGAGCTGCTGTGGATGTGGGTTGTGTGAAGGTAAAAAGCTGCTATTCCTCAGTGGGTTGGACGCTCAGGTTAAACAACAGATGAGTGTTACCATAGGCTGTCAGTGTTGTTTGTTTCTGTCAAATTGCTACTTCTGTTGTGGAAGACAAGCATTTCCATTCCAACAGTGTGTCAGCTTTATTAATGTTGGGCAAAAAAATTGATATGTTATAAAAATGAAACAGACCTATAATTTTGTGGGAAAATGATAAAATTAAAGTTAGGTAGCCTATTTATATACTGCTATATAGTATTTTTTAAAGAGAGATTTGTAAAGAAGCTATTACCCACATTAAATGTATATTCAAAGATTTTTTTTTTTTTAAATCCTGGGTACCAGGAATGTAAAAACAAGTGGATATATTTAACCATAATATACTGTGAGTCAGCAAACAGCACAAACTTCGATTTCATGGAGTTTACCTGTTAACACTGATTTAAATTATCACTCATCTTCTCGTGTGGGGACATAAGTTATGTGGTCAAACGTAAGGATTTTGAACTAATGTTGACTATGGTTGTATTATCCTGTATAATTTCTTCAAAGTGCTGCTGGTTGAAAAGGGAAGCATTATGTTTACAAATCTGTTTTGAAATGTTTGTCAAAATTTTGGTAGTATCTTTAATAAAGATATTTGTCTCCAGCATCTAAAACAAACAAAAAAACAAAATGGAAAGAAAGTTACTTTTTCTGTTATCTTCCCTTTGTCAAAAATCAAACAACTGTGTGTATATATTTCTGGCTTTTTATTCAGATCAATTGATGTATTTGTGTATTTTACCAAAACCATAATTTTTACAACTTTATAAAAGTCTTAAATTTGGGTGATGTCAGCCCTCTGATTTCATTTTTCTTCTTCAGGGTAGCAATAGCCTTCTGGGTCTTCTGCTCTTTCACTTGAAATAGAATCTGTTTGTTGGTGGCCACAAAATAGCTCACTGAGATTCTGATTGGCACCACATTGAATCTGTGGATCAAGCTGTGAGAACTGACATTTGGCAATAGTGTCCTCTGTCCACACACATAGAATATACAGCCATTTATTCCATTTCTTCTGGTATCTTTTATCAAAACTTTGTAGTTTTCTTCATATAGTTCTTTTGCATAGTTGGCTAGACTTAAATATAAGATTCATTTTGGGGAGTGCCAATGTAGATGATACTGTGTTTCTGACTTCAACCTTTCTCTATTACTAAGTCTCATGCTTACAGTCTTGCTGAAATTGCTTCCAGACATTCTGTTTTCGTTGTTTCTTTCATGTTTTATACATAGATAAGCATGGCATTTGACAAAGGTGTTTTTATTTCTTTCCAATCCATGTAGCTTTTATCCCTTTTCTTGTCTTACTGTGTTAACTAGGACTTTTGGTGCAGTGTGAAAGGGGATGGCCCTCCTAACCTTGTCTCTCATCAGTGAGACAGGTTGAGTTTCTCATATTTGAGCTATAGATTTGTTTC